TCCTAAAAGCTGATGATAATTATATGAGTCCCGAGTAGTGCTGGGAAGATGAAGTCTGCGGTGCACAGACTCTGGCTTTCAAGGGTTCCAGTAGTGTGACTTTGAAGGCCTCGCAAGGAGTACAGCGTCCAGATTCCCGGACGCACGGAATAAAAAATGGCGGAGGGTCGGCTCTGCGCTGCCGCTGAAAGTTGGCATCGATCGGTTCCGCTCATCACGTGAAAGGATCACTGATGCCAAGGCCCCAGGGTCCGCGAGGGGTCCACACCACCCTGGTTAGGTATTGAAACTCCGGACATTACAGCTTTTTCAAGTCTAGATTTCAACTATTTCCTGAGACTAGGAAGATCTACAGAGTAGGAGCAACAAACTCAGGCGGATTCGCGTAATGCACCTTCAAGGAGCAGGCAGACAGAGAAGGAGAAAGTAGATCCTGATGGGTTGGTAGCTGCGACGATTCAACAAGCCAATAGACTCGGTGGGTTCACGTTCAGCCGTCTGCAAACAGCGTGCCGGTGAGGCCAGACCGCCTTTTCTAGAGATGCTCTACTTGCTGGAATAAAAAGCCTTTGCGAGGCTGGCAGTGGTTTCAAGGATAGGAATTCGTTATACAAGATGCCCAAAATAGACTTGAGCGAGTCAGTGAAATCAATTCATCGTTTTGCAGGCTTAAAGAAATTTTCAATCACCTGACCTTTACCCCCCCCGGCTTATCAATGTAGTAACCTCTATATTGTCATGGGTCGACATCCATATTTGAAGAGACAGTAGATAATCATCATTTCCATGTGAGCATCACCATCATGACTTGCCCATCTCCAACCCATAATGGAGCAGAATAAAGGAGTCAAGCTCATCACAAAGCCTGTGATAGCGCTTTGCATCAGGAACTAGTCACCGGGGCCAATACGAGGATTAAATTATGGGGATACGGCTTCCCCACGCTCCAAGTGTTGGAGGTCATTGGTATAGCGTGGCATTCCCTCGCCTTTGCAAACATAACCCCTCTCTACCGAGTGCTCTTGGGTATGGTTACTGCTCGAAACGAACGTGTGATTATAGGGTATCCGTGGAAGCTTTTGAACTCAGAGAATTTGCTGTCAGCCTGCTGGGAGAGATCTCCTCGGTATTCATGAATATACTCCGATGTATTACAATATCAGGTGATGTGACGCTTCAGCCTGCCCATTGTCTAGGGTATATTGCAGACCCTCGACGTAAAATCCATTGCGTGAATGCGCTTTAGCTATTCCGATTTAACGCCAAGCTTCGGAAGTTCGGCCTCCGCTCAACCAGTGCAGTGAATTATTTACCGACGCGGTAATCCCTTTGATGTAGACTGACAAAAGCCCATAGAGTAGAGCGGATGGATTGGCTGGGAAAATAAGTCTACCATATCGGGTCCGGGGTACGGAGACGGTTCCGTCCGCTTCCGACATAGAAAGTCTCTGCATACTTGTAAAGCCACTATGCTTGAGCATGTCGGACAACAGGATGCATTGAATGTCTCTTTGAAGTCAGCGGGGTAAAATATGCAAACTGTAGTATGCGGCAATCAAATGATGTTACAGAAGGCTACCAATCAGCTCTAAGATCTTGGCGTCGGCCCGGGGTTCATTGGATGAAGGGCAACCACTGCCGGGAACCGAAAGTGTAAATGTCGGAGCCGCGCTCTATCCCTGACAATGGCCACCTCCCCAGAGTTACCCCTCAGTAAATTCTCCATACTGGGGAGCGCGGAGTCTTTGCACACAGCAGATCAAAGTCCCCCGCTTCTTCAGGATCAAACACAGCACGGCGGAATGGGTCGGCTCGATCGAGTAGCCGGGAAGACCAGATGTATGTATATATTCTGGCCAGCCTACTTTCCACAACGTTCCTTGCAACATGACCAATTTCAGCTTCTCCTGATCATCACCGACATCCAACTTATCCATTCATTGTCCACTGGTACTCCACTATGGCCAGAGTAGACGTCCAGCAGAGTGTTCCCTCGCACCTTCGTACTGTGCCGGGTTCATTCAACATCCCACCGGCACGTCTCCCAGCACCATCGAAAGTCGGCACCTTCGATCCAGAGCGGGTTGCGTCCGACCTAGTGGATGCTTTCAATCTCGCCCTCGACCAACACAACTACCCCAAAGTTACAAGCTTGTTTACGGACAATGGCTTTTGGCGTGACCACCTAGCCTTATCCTGGCAACTTCGAACCGTGCACGGCCATAAGGCTATCTTGAAGTTCTTGGAGAGATGCTCTGAGTCCAGAGACGGCATGCGACTCCGCAGAATTTCAGTTGATCGGAGCTCCTCTGTGCGTGCCCCTAAGGCGTGCGTGCTTGATGGAGCTGGCGAAGTCCAGGGCATCCAGTTCTTCTTCGAGGCAGAAACAGTTCACGGATCTGCCGTCGGAGTCGCACGCCTCGCAATGCAAAATGATGTGTGGAAAATCTTTACTTTATTCACTGGCCTGCAAGAACTGAAGGGCCACGAGGAGCTTCTTGGACATCGAAGACCAAAGGGAGCGCAACATGGAGACCACCCAGACCGCAAGAACTGGGCCGAGAGACGAGCTGACTCGGCTTCTTACACTGACAACCGTGAACCGACCGTGATTATTATCGGTAAGATTTTACTCCTTGCCAACAGGAGACCATCGCTGACCATCGTTCTGCAGGTGCCGGACAGGGTGGTTTGACAGCTGCTGCGAGACTGAAGATGCTAGGTGTCGATTCTCTCATCATCGACAAGAATGAGTCAGTTGGAGACAACTGGCGTCTTCGCTATCGTCAGCTTGTCTTGCATGATCCTGTGTGGTACGACCATATGCCCTATGTGAAATTCCCAGCACATTGGCCCATTTTCACGCCCAAGGACAAGCTGGCCGAATTCTTTGAGTGCTATGTCAAAATGCTAGAACTTAATGTTTGGAATAGCACGACTATCTCTCACTGCGAATGGGACGAGCAAACTACCACCTGGACCGTGTCGCTCTCTCAAAAGCAAAGCGATGGGACCTGCCAAGTCAGAACATTCCACCCGCGCCATATTATCCAAGCCACAGGACATTCCGGCAAGATGAAGATGCCCTATATCCCGGGTATGGAAAACTTCCAGGGTAAACGTCTCTGTCATTCCTCGCAATTTCCTGGCGCAGAGAAGAATGGCTCTGGCAAGAAAGCCATCGTTGTGGGCTCCTGTAACTCGGCCCACGACATCGCACAGGATTACCAAGAGAAAGGCTATGATATCACGATTGTCCAGAGATCGACAACCTGTGTCGTTTCCTCGGCTGCTATCACTAAGATTGGTCTGAAGGGCCTTTACGAGGAGGATGGTCCGCCGGTGGAAGATGCAGACCTTCTACTGCACGGCACCCCTACACCGGTCATGAAAGTGCTTCAAGCTCATATCACTTCAAAAGAAGTCGAGCATGATCGGGAGCTCCTGGATGGACTTGAAAGGGCTGGATTCAAGGTCGACCATGGCCCTGATGGCTCTGGGCTACTGATGAAGTATTTCCAGCGTGGCGGTGGCTACTACATTGATGTTGGTGCCTCACAAATGATCGCAGACGGCAAAATCAAGGTGAAACAAGGCCAGGAGATTGCCGAGGTGCTGCGTCATGGCTTGAGGTTTGCCGATGGCTCTGAGCTGGAAGCCGATGAAATCATCTTCGCCACTGGATACGACAACATGCGCACGCAAACTGGCATGCTTCTGGGCAACAAGGTCGCCGACAAGGTTTCTGATGTCTGGGGCTATAATGAAGAGGGAGAAATCAGAACCATGTGGCAGGATAGTGGCCACCAAGGATTTTACTTCCATGGGGGCAATCTAGCGACGGCAAGATACTACTCCAAGGTGTTGGCCCTCCAGATCAAAGCCCTCGAGGAAGGTATCCATTGGTATGGGGAATTCTGATCGGGTTGATGTTGAGACCGCTGGCTCATGGGACACGACAGCCCGAGGCCAATCTATCTGGAGATTTCTCTCTGTTTCACATGTCTTTCTTTACCTTTGGGGAGCTTCTTTTGGATTTTCTTACCTTTCCTTTCCTGATACAGTGCGGTAGAATTTCTTTCATCTCGCCTTGGATTTGGAGGCTTATGCTATCTCATCAGCTGTCAATGTCCCTTAAGGCTCTTTCTTCAAGTTCTTCACAATTTGTTGTATTATCCTCGATCCATCTTCTGTGCCTTGCCGTCTCTGCTTAGTGTCATCTTCATATGTTTCGCTCTATCTTTGCTGGTGAATAAATACGATACCCAGAAGACGCTTCCAAAGTTGCAATGCATCTTTAAGAACATGAATATATTCAACCCAGGAAAATGCATGAGCGAATCACATCACCGTTATAGCGGCGTTCGCATGTCTGACTGTGGATTTCATCCTGAAATATAAAGAAACTATAGAGATGCTCTTCGGGTTTGAGAGCAGCCGTTACGAAATGGGGTTTCGTCAAAGCAGCCGGTTCCAGCTGGAGGTGCTAGGAGATGAGATACAGGCCTTGACTCCGTTTACTCCTCACCAATGGACTAATGCTAGAGCGGGCTCGCGACAGTAAGGCTTCAGAGTCGTAGAGCGGAAGACCGTTTAAGCTGGCTGGGAGCGGTGCTTAACGCTCATATGGAAAGTGGAAGTGCTTTACATCCTTGATATAGTTTTAGGTCCATCTATACCTTTCTGATGCACATCTCCATCTAGGTGTAACAACAATTTTTCTGTTTAGATGCCATGGGGATTATCAGGATTAAAGCTTCCATCCGCCCGAATCTGGTCGCAGCGGTCCCGCTCAGCGGATCGCACTCGTCGGTGCGGTTCCGCAGAATCTGGGGCGTTAAAAGGTTAAACACTCCTGAGGGGAAGCTGCAAGTGTCATGCACCCCAGCATATAAGTGAAACTGCTTTTCTCAAAAACCTCGCTGTATTTTGCGATCCATTTCCTCCCCTCTCCCCCCTCCCTCGTATCCAAAAGTCTATTTCATCCGCCTTTTAACATCATGAAGGCCGTTGTTTACACACAAAATGGGACTGTTGAAGTTTTAGACCGTCCTAAGCCAACGATACAAGAGCACACTGACGCGGTCGTGCGAATGCTACATGCATCTATCTGTGGCACAGATCTTCATATCCTCAAAGGTGATATACCAACTGCGAAACCGGGTCTTATCATGGGCCATGAGGGTGTCGGGATCATCGAAGCATTGGGATCCGCCGTTCAGGGATTTCAGGCGGGCGACCGGGTCATCATTTCCTGTATGACCTCTTGTGGCTCGTGTCGGTTTTGCCAGCGATCTATTCCATCACACTGTCAACAAGGAGGGTGGACTCTAGGCCACCAGGTCGATGGAACACAGGCTGAATTTGTCCGTGTTCCTCACGCCACACTATCGCTCCATCCCTTGGACTCCTCTGTAGACACGCGTGCTGCAGTTTCCCTTTCAGACGCCCTGCCAACAGGTTTTGAGTGCGGTGTGCGTAATGCCGGAATCAGTCCGACAGGCTCAGTGGTTATTGTGGGCGCAGGCCCTGTGGGCATGGCAGCCCTCCTCACGACCTGCCTCATAAAACCTGCCTTGATTGTTATGGTCGACCTGGATGATGCGCGCTTAGAGACAGCACGCACCATGGGCGCACACCATACAGTTAACTCTGCAGCTCCAGACGCAATACAACAGCTGCTGAATCTGACTGAGAATAAAGGATTTGACTCTGTCATCGAGGCGGTAGGCATTCCAGCTACATTCGAAATGTGTCAGGAACTGGTTGCCGTTGGCGGACAGATTGCAAACATGGGAGTACACGGCGTGAAAGTGGATTTACACATGGAGAAGCTCTGGGATCGAAACATCAGTTCGTGACACTGGATACTCATAATCAACCGTTCCCTCTTACTAACAGGGATCTTCTAGGTATTCATATGTCGATGTGTAATGCGACTTCAACCTCCCACTTGCAGAATCTCGTGAAGAATGGTGAATTAGATATTGGCTCACTGGTGACTCATCGTAAGTTTAAGAGCAAACAGACTGTATGGATATGATAACTAATGAATTGGCAACAGAGTTCCCTTGTGACCAGGCAATGGCTGCATATGACACCTTCAAAGCCGCGTCTAAACATCGGGCTCTCAAAGTGGCCATTGATTTTTGACCCAGCCGTTAGAAAAGAGGTGTAATATTCTGTCAATGAAGAGCTCCAATGAGTCTACTTGGTCTTGTTTTAGCTCGATTCCCCTGAAGAATCTACATTCAACATGTAGATCAACGCTCTTCCTGATTCTTGTTTTGGTATAATCCAAGTGCCCAAAGATCATATGCACAGATGGAGGGCCTATCTGGATTATCTCTCATCACCGCATTCCTTAGTCTTTCACTAAGGGCCAGTGAAGAGTACCTACAATGAAGACTTTCGGAGAATGATGATAAAAGCAATCACCCAACTGGCAAAATGCAGCTGGTAGCCAAAACACCACAACATCTCGAGGGTGATAATTTTAGGACCATTAGAAAGCTGCCATTCGCCCGATTCTAAGGCCGTTTTTATTTTTTCATAATCTTGGAAACTGGTGGCAGGTAAGGCGGAAAGCTCTCAGCCAATATCGGTGATGTGTTGTTTTTCCTTCCAGGAGATCCTTCGTGAGGTCCTGAGAGGCCATAAGAGGGTGATGTTTCTTTCTATTCAGATAGATCTTCAGAAATTCATGAGATTCAAGATTGATTGATTTGCTCTCATCTTTTCTTGCTTCCATGCGTAGCTGTGCTTTCAGCCCAGACTTCCTCAGACGCCTTCCTCGCAATGAACCCCTTCAACTTCGATGCAGCGGCAGTACGTCAGACTACAGAGGAGGAGCGGGAGAGTGAACAGGATGAGCCAGAATTTTGCTAATTGCATGGAACCCATGAATTGCCTTGGGTTCTTGATGTCTTGCTTTATAATTATTGCCCTATAGTTAGTGCGTGCCGCATATGGCAGCGAGGACGCTGCCTTTTTCTGCTGCGGGCATTGTTAGGGCGCAACCGCGCTACACTCACGTGACAGCGCAACTTAGCAGAGTTAGCCCTCATCCTTAGAAGAATCCAAGAGCTTTGGTCCATATCACACATCACTCATCGTCCCGATGAGATGAGTCCAACGCGAGAAGACCGTGAAGGATGGATCTTTGATGGGGTAGGGCCGGTCCACGCCACGCACCCGGGGCGACGGGAGCACGCATGGCGGACCAATCAGGATGGCGAATGAATGGTATAGGGGTCGATACCAGCCGCTACTAGGGTATAAGGGTCGCTTAGTGGTTCCTGAAGATGGAGATCTGCGAGCACGCCTATTGGATGAGATCCACCGCCAACAATCAACTGCGCACCCTGGACAAGAGAAAACGTAGCGGATGGTAGCTGCTCGCTACTACTGGCAAGGTCTTGCGGATGACATGAAGCGGTATATGGATAACTGTCAGATTTGCAAGCGCACGAAGGCATGGAGGGATCGCGCGCCAGGCCTACTGTAACCGTTACCTCTTCCCGGCAGGCCCTGGCAACACATCACGATGGATTTCCGCTCGTTTCCGAAGTACCGCGAGGGTTTGATGCAGTGGTTGTGTTCGTTGATCGCTTATCAAAACGACCGATATCGATTCCCTGTCATAAAGAGATTGATGCGAAGGAGGCAGCAAGGTCATCTGTGGTATCGATGGGTGGACTGCCTGAATCAATTATGTCAGATTCCAGCGGGCAATTTGTGTCAGCGTTTTGGAAGGAATTCTGCAGGATCCTTGGTATCGGGAGGAAGTTGTCAACTGCTCATTACCCTCAGACTGATGGGCACAGCAAGATTGCCACCAGTATATGGCATAATGACTGAGACCCTTTGTAAGCCACTATCAGGATGACTGGTCAGAATACCTCCCGATGATTGATTTCGCTGCCGCAGCGTTACTGCAAGAAACGACAGGGATATCACCCTTCTATGTTGAGCGAGGATATGAGCCACGCGTCTCATTTGATTGAAACCAGCAGAGACCTTCGATTAGTTGAGCCAGATTACCCCGCGTCAAATTAAGCAGTCTGATCGTCAAGATGCCCTTTCAGATAATCCACAGACGTAAGAAGCGCGCGCCTACACAAGTCGGTTGCAGGAGATTTGGGAGGAAACGCAACAGCGTGCCACACAGGCGCAGGAGCGCCAGAGACAGCAGGCGAATCGTCACCGGCACCGAGAGGATTTCAACGTAGGCGATAAGGTTTTTGTGAACACGCGGAATTGTAGAGTTGACCAACCAGGTCGTAAGCTGGCAGATCAAGCCGCTGGAGCCTTTGAGATTGTTGGGAAGGTTGGTCATGCCTACTGATTGGACCTGCCAGATACAATTCACGTGCATCCAGTTTTTGCTGCAGAGAAACTACGACTAGCTGCGAGGACGCCTCCGTTACCAGGGAAAGTTGTTGATCGCCACCACCGGTCGTTGTGAACGAGGAGGATGAATGGGAAGTCGCTAAAATTGTTGCTGTGCGCCTACACTACCGGAAGCTGCAGTACCGCGTTAAATGGGTTGGACAAGGCGATGAGGTTGATACGACGTGGTATCCTAAGAGAAATTTCAAGAATGCACAGGAGAAGCTACTGGAGTTCTACCGCAGATACCCTGATGAACCGGGACCCCCGAAACGATTGAACCTGTTGGCAGAAGCTGCGTTGAATGACCGATTCAAGGAAGACCATCCTGACAACGATAGACCTGCATGATTGGCTAGTGGATTAATGCGAATGTTTGGATTATACGATTTGATCTGGTGGGCCAGGTCCTTTAAAGAAGGGGGCAATGTGACGATGTGGCACGGAGGCGGACATTGGGGACGGATTGACAGGTTTGCATGAGAGGAGCAAACTTGGCCAGGATGGGAGGATTGGCTTATGAGTAGTTCCCCCCACCAGATGGATCTCTCCTTCCTTTTCTCCCCAGCTTCGTTTACCATCGTCAGATCGCACCGAATAAATTGGTTCTCCCTTTCGACCTCGCTTGGCTCGTGACAGCGACCAAAACAAGTGTATTTCCGGTAACGTAATCCACAAGCGAGCGAGACACCCAACCGAGCGAGACACTCAACCCCTGAAATCTTACAACCACCACTGAATCATCATCAAATCCAGCCTTTTATCCAATATGGCATCAAAACCAGCAGATTCAAGCATCAGATTAGAAGATCGCATATCTCTTGCAGTCAACGCATATGAAAATGGTCATTTTACAAGTATACAAGCAACAGCAGCAGCAGAAGGATTTCCCACATTCCACTCTAGCCCATCACATCAATTAGTCAAAAGGCGCGAGGCAATATACCAGTAAACTGTAAGAAGCTTACAAATCTTGAAGAGGCCTTATTAAAGAAGTGGATTCTACATATGGATGATCGCGGCCTACCCCTAAGTCAAGATATTATATGCAAGATGGCAGATTTACTACTATCTTAGCAGAAACCAGGTCCATTTACTGGCATTGGAAAGAACTGGGTCAGTAACTTTATTAAACAGCATAATGATCTTACATTAAAATATACCTGTAAATATGATTATCAGCGTGCAAAATGTGAGGATCCTGAGATTACCAACTAGTGGTTCAATCTTGTTCAGAACACTATAGTAAAATATGGTATTTTTAAACAGGATATCTACAACTTTAATGAGACTGGGTTTTAAATAGGTATAGCTCATATAGTGAAGGTTATTACTACATCCCACCATCAAATAAGCCGCGTAGGAGCTGTACAGCCAGGGAATTGTGAATGGGTTACTGTCATTAAATATATCAATGCTTCTGTGTGGCCTCTGTCCCCCATGATCATCTTTTCTAGCAAGGCCCATCAGTCTTAATAGTATCAAGATATAGACCCTGACTAGCTGATTGGTGTGAGTGATAATAGATAGACTAATAATAGGCTTGGCTTATCATGGTTGGAAAAAGTCTTTAAGAAGTATACTATATTATGTATACTTGGAAAATATTAGCTTCTGATACTTAATAGTCATGCTAGCCATGAATCTGCAGAGTTTGACCTATTCTGCAAGGATCATCAAATCATCCCTTTATATATGCCTTCCCATTCATCTGATAAACTACAGTCACTTAATATTAGCTGCTTTGCACCCCTAAAGGAGGCATATAGTGCAGAGGTGATGCACAGAATTCATAATAGCATTCATCATATTAATAAAGAGAACTTTCTAGATCTCTACAAGGGAGCATAGAAAGCATTATCACCTTCTAATATCAGCAGTGGATTTAGGGCTTCTGGACTAGTTCTATTAAATTATCAACAGGTATTAGATAGGCTTACCATTAAGCATATCACACCACCCTCTACTACTTATAGGCCTTTTGACAGAGATAGGGAATAGATAGTAAAGACTCCTTATACTACTGCTAAGGTACAGAATCAGATACAGCTTATTAAATAACTTATCAGTTATAACTCTGAAAGCCTGCTAAATAAAGCAGTTTGTCAGCTGGCAAAAGCAGCCAAATCCACCATCCATGAAGTCATTCTATTACAACACTAGATAACTGAGCTTTAAACAGCGAATGAAAAGCAAAAACAAAGCGTACAGCCCTAAGATCTTTTCTTAGTACTGGGGGTGTTCTGATAGGATCCGAAGGTCCGCAACTTGCTCAAGAAGCCATGCAGGCAATGGACTTGGTGGAGGAAGGGACTTCTTGTAATGCCTTTGCCATCAACACCTTTGCCTGAGAGATTTTGTTTGCCCTCTATTAGACATGTATGCTCTCAGTCCATAGCTCCAGGTTGTCAGGCACCGCAAGACAGGCCTTTTCGAGAATGGATCTGGCTCTGATCACCGCCCCGGCCTTTTCTTCCAATCTAGATGCTAGCAACCAGAGTGGAACTGACTTAGGGCACGTCCGCGTACCCGTTCCATAGGCATCTCGAGCTTGTGAGAGCTTATTCTGGGACTCATATATTTGACCCTTCATCATCCAGAGCTTGTCAGCCTTAGGGTACAAGTGAAGACCCTGGTCGATTAGTTCAAGGGCATCATTAAGGTTGCCGAGTTGCCGTCAAAAGCTATGCTCTTGATCCACACGCGCTCTGTTCCTGCTTCAGATGGAGCAGTTGCCAGGAGCGCTCGGGCTTGGTCCATTTGCTGTGTGTCTGTTTCAAGTTTCACAGCAGCCAACCAGATGTCCTCATTATTAGGGTTCTTATTAAAAGCATACCCGAATACTCTTCTAGCATCATTAACCTCTCCAGTAGGCCTCGAAATGGTCCGACTCAGGTTCCAAAGGTCGGAACCTCGAACCTGAACCTGAGGTTCTCAGGTTCCATATTTTGGAACCTGAGTCGGGTCGCGGTTCCATCAGGTTCGACCCAGGTTCGAACCTGACAGAACCTGATTTGCATAATTTTGCCAAGATTTTCCTATTTTGGATGGATAAAATGATGATTCATTAAGATTTTATACTGTAATTTACCGCTGTTATGGTCAAAACATCTACAAACCACGCGATGTCGCCACATCCCTTGTGAAATTATATGAAATTCGTCTGTATATAGAATACCTAGCATAGCCAATGTTATATCTAATCAGATTTAGTGGCCTCGAGGCCCTTAGTAGTTAATTCTAGTAGAAGTTGTGGTTGATGTGCTATATAAAGTGAGAAATATATATTTTACACTGAGTACTTCACCACCATCCTAATCAATATTTCTTTGAATATGTTTCAACAGCCGTCATTAGAATTAAACAGGCTAATTAGAAGCTCATATAGGAATACTAATATCCTATATTTACTCTGTATATTATATGTTTATCACTTGAAAGCAACAAGACTATATACTTAGGGTTGAGGACTTAGGCAAAAATTAAGATTGAAATGACTCTTCATGTGGGTTAAGATGAGGTTCTAGGTCAGGTTCTAGGCCAGGTTCCTTAGGTTCTAATTTAGGTCTGTCAGGGTCCATCAGGTTTGACTCAGGTTTGAACCTGACAGAACCTGTCTATAGGGGGCCTCAGCCGCCTCACTAACCAATTATCACACACGCAGGTAGATAGCCCAGTCTATATTAAAATAGACATATCAACACCTTTATTCAGCTCATATTAGCAGCTAATTCTCATAGTTTTTCCTATTTCCCTTAGTTCTAGCTTACTTAACCTCTAGTATGTCTCTTCCAGTCCTTCTCTATCATCCTAACTCTATTATTTACCATGTCACACAGTTAAATCTCTTAGTTCTCTGATAATTATCCCTCATCTATCTATGAGGATACCCCTCTAGATAGCTCTTCCTTCCTTCCATCTAATGGTCTACAGCTATTCTTCCCTAACGCCTCATACAGCCAGCAGACACCTGCTTCTACACCTGACACTAAATTCACCTAGCCTCTAGTACTGCCCTCCATCCCTAACACCCTTGAACGCGTTGGCCCAGAGAAGAAGAAGAAGAATCATCTTCTCTGGACAGAGATGGTAAATAATGAATTCATTGCGTGATGGTTAAAGACTGAGTTTGGAAGTCAGTTGAAAAGGAATATCTTTGAGAATAAGTGCCAGGCAGAGTGTTAGAAGCATTTTCACCAGGTTACCTCTATCTAAGATGGGTCTCTAAAGGTTATATGTAAAATATGCAGCTAAATCCTTAATCATCTAGCAGACAGCCATCATGGAACATCCTCTATGAATAAACACTTGCAAGGGGTTAACTGTCAGAGGGTAGCACCTTATTCACAAGATATTAGAAGATTCATACAAGAAGGGGTATATTGATATATTTATCCCTATAGATTCATTTTATCTCTACTAAGTTCTAGTTATCTTAGGCACATCTAGCCTCTCAAAAACCTACCTTTACTCCACAAGCCTGGATGGAGAGGGTAATTATATTCATTACTACCTTATGACTGCCATTTCAACTTGTTGAGCACCCTTAGTTTAGTGCCCTTATTAAGATGGCCCAGCTTGCACCATCCTTACCCAAAATCCCTTCCGCATATATGGTCTGATGTCACCTTTAAGAGATGGTTAAAGAATGACAGCAGAATCTTCTTTATAAGCTTCCTACAGGCGCTAAGCTCTCTATTACATTAGATTACTAGACCTCACCCTTTCACCAGGCTTTTATAGCTATCACAGGCTACTTTATTAATAAGGATTGGAACTATTATGAGATCTTGCTTAGCTTTGAACTACTTCATGGCACACATACAGGAGTTAATCTAAGCTTAGTTCTCCTTAACCTACTTCAAAAGCATGGGATTGAGGACTAGGTCTTGACTATTACCACTAATAATGCGTCTAATAACTTTACATTAGTAGAGAGCATCCAGGACTCTCTTTAGTTACTTAAGCTACCAAACTAGACACCAATTATTTGTATACCATGTATGGCACATATTATTTAACTTGGTTTGAAAGAGCTTCTTAGTAGGATGGAAGTGAACCCAAGGAATGAGAGAGCAGAGATAGAATGGACTAAGGAAGAGAATAGGGCTTAGTGAGAGAATTAAGAAATTATATATACTCTTAATAAGGTAAGCTACCCTCTTTAATATTGCCTTAGTTCATACTCATAATATATTAGGTTTGGCAGCTCGCGGTCTATATCAACAAGAGCCCCTAATGCCAAGAGGCCTTCCAGAACCTTTAGATAACAGAACCAAAGCTTGTACTAATACAGGATATTAGGACCTGCTGGAATTTAATATATCTGATGCTCTAGCGCGCCAAATAGC